ACAACAAGGGAATACTGGGCAACACTATCCCGGGGGGCAGCATTTGCATTGTTTTCCACTTCACCACATTATTACAAATCTCTAGATTAGATGCATCAATTTGACTGAAAGTTATCACTTTTTTGTTTTCCCATTTCTCTTCTTTGGCTTACTCAATGAGACCATTATTTTTGATGGATGCCGCAAAGTGTCCACTGAACCACTCATCTCATTCCCTTTTTCTCCTCCTTCCAATATGACTCAACTCCTCCACAATCTCACACTTCCAAGTGGGAATCCAACTTATATTGGAGGTTCACTATTTAACCACAACAATAGTCAACTTCATTGACCTCATCCTCAAAGAAACAAGAAACTCATTACTTGATAACTTTATATACAATTTGTGAAATTTATGATTTGAATACAAGATTTTCAACTTTCATTTAACTTATCAATCCTGAATTTAATTTGAGTACATTAACTTTTTCAAGTTGCATGTATTTGTTCCTTCTTTTTTTTTCCTGAATGAGTATATGTAAATACCAGCGAAGCACATGAAAATGGGAAAATTAATGAGGCATGATTGATTTGGGAGAGGAGTAACAACTTCATATCATCAAAGGGACAAAGGAGCCGAAAGAAGAGACATACAGTGACAAATGATAAGGTGCTCTTTCCCATTTTTTGCTTTCTTTCCAATTCCCCATAAAAAAAACCCTTTCTTTCATTTCCTCAATCATCACTCACTTACAAATTAGACCATCATCCTCTCTTCCTTCTTTCCTCTTTCCTCCTTTTTTTTTTTTTTTTGCCACTTCATTTCATTTCACACCTAACCTTCAGAATTACTGTTCAAATTCCCTCATTTCCCCCATGGTTTTTGTTGGGAGTTGTACCTGTTTTTCTTTTTCCCCTTTTTCCTCATCCAAAAGTAGTGACTCCTTGCAAACAGTCAATAAGAAAATTGGCTGAAGATATTTTTCAAAGAAGTAATGAAATTAGGTTGCAAGAATTTTTTTCCTTTTTTTTTTTTAAATTGGGAAGTTATTGGAATTTTGGTTTATTCATAAAAAGGATGGGGTAAGAACTCGAGAATTTCTAGTTATATTGAAATTTTTCTAAAGCTAAGCAAGACATATATAGAATCAAGTATCATGAGTATTAATTGCACTAAACTTATTGCAAATTTCTAATTAAAATAAAGATTGAATTTTTATCATTTTTCATCTCACTATAAATATTGAGTTTTTTTTTTTTTTTTTTCGAAATTTTGTTAAGAAGTCATGAACAAGTGGATAGTAATCCATAAGTTTACAAAATTAGCCTAACACTACACAAAAATGCTTAAAGCAAAATATAACATTGTTTCTCTTCACCCTTCCCCCAATATGAAAAGGAAGATATCCCACTAATTAGTTTCCTAAATAAACTATTGTATAATTCACAATCTAAGTGGAGGATTTAAGATGAAACTTGCCCAAACAACTTCCTAAGCCCTAAAGCAAGCTATAGTATCACTTTTCTAGCCCTTTATAGTTTCTACCAATGTGGCAGCAATAAGTTGCCATCACCCACTTGTGTATTTGTATTTCTAGCTCCTCATTAGTCATTTTTAGTTGTGTATGCTTTGCTTAACGTTACATTAGGTTTAGGTCATCTAGGGGGGCACATCTAGATGGGCATTGGGAAAAAGTTGAAGCACTCAATAAGTACTTTTTGGACTCATCTTTATGAACAGAGGGCCCAGGGGATGGCAGAATCACAGTCATTAAAGAAAGGAAAAGTGTTTTGTCTGACTCAGGATGATGTGGAAGGATGTTAAACCCGAAGGACATCACCAAGGAAACCCAAATTCTTCTCAGGAGATTGGGTTTGCTGGAGTTTTCCAATAATGTTCAAAATAAACGTTTTCAACAGTATGCTAAATTCAAAAAATTAATACTATACAAAAAAGAAAGTATTATGTAAGTTGTTTTTATAATTTTTTTTTAGGATTTATCTAAAAATTTATATTTTAATTAATATTTTTAAAAACTATCTATTAGATTGAAGGTTTTATTTATTTAAATAATATATATTGATTTTTAAATTGCTATAATAAGTCTAATAATTTCATTTATTACAAAAAATTTAACGATGTTAAATATTTATCAGTAGATAGAGTTTTTTTATTGAATGGTTATAAATATTAGATTAATATGAAAATTGACGTGTGTGATTTACATGAATAAAACTTTCAATCTAATAATTTATTTTTTAAAATATTAATTAAAAAATAAGTTTTTGGATAGATTTTTCAAAAAAAAAATTTAAGAGAATGACTTGCTATACATTATCTTCATACCATATTATGTTAATATATCTTAATCTTCAAACATACATATTATATTTTTATGAAAAAGTGCATTTTTGGAGCACACCCTTAAAATGTCATATTTTAGATAATATTCTTAAGAATCATTAGTTGAATTGAAAATTTTATTCATATAAATCATGTATGATAATTTTTATATTAATTTAGTAGGTCAAATTAATTTATTGATTATACAAAATTAAATATCAATAAATATATATAAGTAACTAAAATTTATGTAATGAAAGAGTTATAAATTTTAAATCAATTTAAAAACTAATATGTATAACCTGCATACATAAAAAATATAATCTAATTTTTTAAAGAAAATATTAATTAGAAACTAAATTTTCAATCCTCCAACAAAATATTTTTAAAAACAATGTACATCATACTATCATAATATTCTAATATACTTTTTATACAAAAATTATTATTTTTTATATGAGATTTATCATTTTGGTTGCACAATAAGAGACAATTATTTCTTATTCCTAATCACATCACATCCACATATAATATGAGTCGAACTTAAAAATTTTTACTTTTAATAAAATATATAATAACTGAATAATTTAGATCATCGACACAAAATTTATCATAATCAATCATGAATAATTAGAGAAAGATGTAGTAACGGTCATAAATTAACTTGGCGGGAATAAACGTGTTTAGGTGTGAACTCACTGGAGTGAGTGGACCAGAGCTGTGGAATTTTTGGGACGCTCCAGACAAGCAATCCCTATGAAACTTTCGGTGTATTTTTTTCCTTTTTTTTTTTTTTTTTTTTTTTTTTTGGGTGTCGACTCCTACATTGCTATATAAATAACACCGTCTTCAGCCATATTTTCACTCTACCACTCAAAGTTTTCTTCTTCCCTGGGTAACTAACTTCTTCCTCCATCAATTTTCCTTTTAAGGATTCAAAATTTGCGATTCTATTCAGGGGTTTCTTGAATGGTTAGGTTTCAATTTTGAAAGTTGTAATCTTTTTGTTGAATTAGCAAGCTTAGTGTGGAATTCTGGACATTTTGGCTTCCGGGTATAGTTCAAGATTGAATTTTTTTTCTTCTTAACCTTGTTTTGGGATTGATTTTAAGGGGGGGTATTGTGGGTTTTGATATTCTCATTTGAAGAACAAGTTTTAAGGACAATGGTTCTGGCATTCACTGGGTGCATCCCATGGAGGTTGTGCTTGGTTCTTGACAACAAGTCTCGTGGTGATAATGATAAAAGCTTCTATTTTTGGATACCTCATATCTTTAATAGGTACAGTTTGGGCACTTAGCAACAACATCTCGAACCTTTCTCCAAAAATTTCGTAAATCTGTTTCTGTTCTGTTCTGTTTGGTTTTCCCTTTGGGTAGATTAGGAATTGGATTAATGGGAGGGGCATCACTGCCACCGGGTTTTCGGTTTCATCCAACTGATGAGGAATTGTTGGGTTACTACCTCAAGAGAAAGGTGGAAGGGCTTGAAATTGAGCTGGAAGTAATTCCAGTGATCGATTTCTACAAGTTTGATCCTTGGGAGTTGCCAGGTACACTCTTCTGTGCAAGTTTTTGAACCCTCTCAATGATAATGCCATGCTTTAAAAACTTCTATACCAAAATACTTCTATTTATGCTCCCAAGGGATGCTGAAGTTCACTTGTTCTGATGAGCTGATAATTGTGTTATGATTTTAGATGATGGAATGAAAGTGAAAAGCAAGTGTGAAACATTAGAATTTTTTGCGGTGTTGGAAGCACTTTCTAACCTTTTTTGTTTGTTGTGTATTTTGATTTGGCCCAAAATTTGTTGCAGCACGAGTAGTTTTATTCCCATGGGACCTGCAACTTTTTCCTTCTTAAAGCAGATCCAATTGGATTTCTTTAGTTTATTATACCATCTAATTGGTCTAGCTGTTTGATGCTTTTGCTTTCACTGTTGTGGGAATTGAAAGCTTCTGATTTGTCATTGCAGAAAAGTCTTTCCTTCCAAAACGAGATATGGAATGGTTCTTCTTCTGTCCCAGGGATCGGAAGTACCCGAATGGCTCAAGAACAAATAGAGCCACCAAAGCTGGCTATTGGAAAGCCACAGGGAAAGACAGGAAAGTGGTGTGTCAATCTGGGGTGACTGGCTACCGTAAGACCCTAGTTTTCTACCGTGGACGTGCTCCTTTAGGGGATAGAACAGATTGGGTGATGCATGAGTACCGGATCTGTGATGATCTTGCTCAAGGATCACCAAATCAGGTAGGTATCAAAGAGAAAGCTCATATGGGACATGGCTTAATTTCCTATTTGATTAATGCTTAGAAGTAAGTAGATAGGCCTTAAGGCCCTTAACACTGAACTGTGCCTGTTTATTTTTATTCTGTTTAGGGAGCTTTTGCTTTGTGCCGTGTTGTTAAAAGGAATGAGCATGCACAGAAGACGAGTGATTCACATGGAGAACCAAAATCCAAGGGGCTTGGAAGTAGTTCTGGCAATGGGGAATTTACCTCAACTCAAATCTCGAATGAGGGCATGAGTATTTCCTGTGACATTTCACCTCAAGGAAGTTACCCGTGCTATGAGAGTCGTTATTCAAGTCCAATCACTTCTCCTCATCCTTATGAAGTCACACAAGTGGCACCATTTGAACATGCATCAATGGACAGCAATCCTGCAAGCTTTTGGGTCTCACCTGATCTCATTCTTGATTCTTCAAAGGTATTAAACATGATGAGATGAAACGAGTGGCATTAGTGTTGATGTTTCTCAAAGATATCTCCTTTTGGCTTGTTTCAGGATTACCCACAGCTGCGTGAAACAGCACCAGAATGCTTTCCACAGTCTGAGTTTCCAAGCTCGGTGACTCCATGGCAACAATATCAACAGACGGAATTCTCCCCTAGTTCATCATACTCAAATTTTGGGGAAACTGGGCATATGGATGATCTGAGTCGAATTGGCTGCATGTCAACTTACTCAGGACACGCAAATTATATGGACTTCTATGGAAATGAAGACATTCCAAGTTATGACAACATGAATCCGTTCTGAAAAGGGAAGGGAAGATCATTGCAGCTTGTCTATTGTCAATGGAGATGGTAATTTGGGGACTGCAGTAATCTTTGGTTTTCAAGGAGACAATTTAGTGATTCTGATATAGGGGGTCTGCTCGGGTCGGGTCTGTGTATCTACTATTGTATTATCCAGAAAGGGTCTCCAAGAGGACGCCTTTTTTTGTCAGTTCTTGGAGTACAAGAGAATAACTACAATCCTTGAATGCAAGTCATATTGCATGGGATTGGCACTGTCTGTCTGTGTTATGTTTGGTTACTGTAGTTGCATTAGTTTATGTTTTTAAGTGGAAAATGACCCCCGAGGAGTGACCTTTTTTAACAATTGCACTCGGAGTTCGTCTGCTTGTAGCCTAAAAGTTTTATGGAATAAGTACATTTTCAAGGGCAGAAATTTTCAAGTTTGAATCTTCTGTGAATGCCACAATACAAGATGGAAGTATGCAACTTTAAGCAATTGACAACAACTGAATTCTGAACAGGGGAGACTGCTCTGTTTCACCTTCCATTACTCGTCCTATTTTCTCTGGATATTTAAAGCACAAAGCTTTTTCATCAACAAGTGACTCTAAACAAACTCTTTAGGCTTTAAGTTAAACATAGAAACTGCGATTAGACAGGATAAGAATTAATCATGAAGTTAACCATAAAACAAAAGGGGTTTAACTCAAATTATAGTAAATGAGAATCATGAAAAAGTGCCCCATTTTGCCGAAATCTACCAGTTTTTCTCTATCCCTTATTCACTTTTGTTAAGGATCTGGATAAAAGAAACCACAATAATTCAACTTTTAAGTTCCAAAAAAAACTTATCTTATGCAACACCAAGGGGGTTAATATTCTCCAGAGAATAGATTCTCCCACCCCTATTATCTCAGCTGCAACACCTACCTAGTCTACCCCTTTGAGCTTGGAACTTTTCTCATCCTCGTCTATATGCTCCACTTATTTCAATCGAAAATGAACACATAAAAAAGAAGGGGACCAATGAGTTTAAATTTTTATATGCACTTTAAGAAAAGTCAGCAATTTTGGCACTCCTTTTCCTTCCACCTAAGGACTCTGCATAATCTTTGTATTGCTTGAATGGCTAAAATGAGTTTCCCAAAATGAAATCGAAGAAAAACAACAATGAAAAGTTCATCCCCTGGGCCAACATGTACACAAAAAGAACATTTTCCTCTTCATAGTTCATGCTAATATAAACTAGGAATAAAAAGGTATCCTTGCGTGGCCAGGGTTTGCTGTTAACCGAACCTTACCGTGCTGTGACAGCATTTAAGAGGATGCACATCTCAGTTCAATGCTCAATTTCATCAATAGATTTTCTTGTGCATTCCCATCAGCCCAATATGAAGTCCAGGTTTTGCCATTTGTACAAATAATTAAAAGTTTCATGTGGTTGCTAGGGTAAAAACTTGAAATAACAAATCCAGGGTTTCACTGTCTTCTTCTTGAGAATGGGCAATTATTACAGTGAATATTCGTATGAGCATAAACCCTGGAATTGAACTTGCTCAATGCCAAGGGGTGATTTCCACCAACTCAGGGGGTCCTCCACTTGAGCCAGGGCATGGAAATTAGAGTTTTCACTAATTGATCATTGGTACTACATTTCAGCAAAAAAATCTAGTCTAGATTACTTTTGTATATCAGAAGGCAAATGCTCAGTGAAAAGTGCATGAACAAATGAATTCATGATCATTTTGATGCATCATGCCGAATCTAAATGACTCCAATGTGGCACCAGAACAAGGATCAAGCAAAATCTATGCTTATGCAATAAAATGATATTGCTATTTATTACGGACATATACTTGCTAACATAGGCAAACCATTTGCACAATCATTTTTCAAACCTAAAGGCAAAAAATAACTGTGATCAAAAGTTTTGATCTTTATTATAGGCTGCAGACATTAGCCCAGGGGAGGGTTGGATTTGTTTAAATATGTATCCTAGATAGAATGAAGAGGTACCACTGACTCCAGGGAAAGGCAAGTTGTATGGAAAAGTATACCTGAAGGAGAGAGTCTTTTCATGCATGATAGTTTATCAGGCTGAACAACAGCTAAGAACTAGCACCAAAAATGCGGATTCTCTGTTCAATTGGAACACGGCAACATGGACAAGTAGCTTTACCATTCTTTTCATAATTGTCGTTGCAATTGATGCAAAGAACCTGGTGTGCACAAGGCAGGAAAACAATAGAGACTTCCTCTTTCTGACATATCATGCATTCTCTGTTGCAGTTTGCTTCTTTCTCAGAGAAGTCCTCCAGTTGATCTAATTCATGAAGCAAACGAGCAATTGTTTCTCCTTGTGGCTTTGCCCCTTCTGACTTTCCTGTGAATAAGGTATTTGACTGATTATTCAACTCATCAGACTGTGCAGACAACTTCAGACGGGAAAGATCTTGCTCAAGTCTTTGGAGATCATCCTTATGGCGCTGAAAATCTATCTCTATCTTTAGGCGCAAGGACTCAAGCTTTCTTTTATTACTTGCCTCAGCTGCTTCCTTGGAGCGCTGTTCCTCTTCCACCTGAGCCAAGGCTAGCTCTTTGGCCTTCAGCTCCTGCCTCCACTTTGTCTGTAACAGTAGAATGCAACATATATATGGTTCCCTCTTGAAATCAAGACAAATAGAATATATGAACATATTATTAATGTGATGAAGAACTTAAGAGACCTAAATGCATTTCCAAAATCAAAGAAAAAATTAAGCAGCAAAAGTAAAGTTTTAACATACAATATGCAGCTTATGAAAATGAAAAGTTGACAAAATAGCAAATTAGAAAAACATCAAGCATCTAGTAAAACAAATTCCAGAGATAAAAGTTATATTCATCAAAGAGATGACTAAGAGTGAACTCAGTGCTCCTGAAAGGAACTAGCAGAATTATCATAAACTTTACAGAACTGATTGTAAACAAATTTTTATGAGAAGCAGAACTAGAACTACTTCATATTCAGTGGTTTGTAACTACCCAACTAAACTATAAAATATTTTGTTAAAATATTACAAACCAAACTATACTGTCATTTGATCCACTGAATTTATGAAAATGTTATGTTGATTCCATTTGAGTTGGGTCAAATTACCTGTTGGAAGTCGGTGCATTTTATTTTTGGTTGTCCTACATAAGAACTGAAATAGAAGTTGAATGAATTATTTAACAAAAGACATCACAAGTATCAATATGTTAACTTTCAATTGTATGAGATGCATTATGTTTTTTTCACCCTCTAAGTTGTTACACGTATTGGGTATGTATATTTAGGACTGATCTTACATGTTAAACCTGCACTGCAGCAGATATTAATTCCTATTTCCTCCAGAAGCACTTTTAAACCAGTATGCCTAATTACCTTTGACATGAGGCAGCTTACAGAAGGTTCTGAAAACACAATAAAGAACAGTGACCATTTTTAATCAATCAATCACCTTCTTTTCAAACAATGTGATAGTAAATCCATATGCCAATAATCAAGGCAATAATTTCATGCACCTATGCATCTATAATTTATTGTCGGTAATTTATTGTTGGTAACTTATTGTTGCTCCAAACACCACCAAAATTAAATGAACAATCCAATAGGACAAAGAACTAGAAAACGAACTCTAGCTTCTATAGAACCATATGCTTGAATTGAAGCTTTATGTCTACATAGTTAGCTACATAAAAAACACATAAAAGTTTACAAAAGCGGCCTCTTAATTCACAAAATGTCATCTTTTTTTAATAGGTAAACCATTTATAGACATGCCAAAAGGAGCATATCACACAGACCATAAATGTTTTTGATAAATCACCTTCCATTTCATGCAAGTATGACACAAACTCTTAGGCCTATTGACATGAAGGTAGAATCTTATGGATGTCCGTAAGTGGAATGGAATGATAGATAAATACAATGTATGTCACTTTATTTGAAGCGTTACGTCTACATAGTTAGCTACATAAACAGCACATGACAGTTTGTTATAGCAGCCTTACACATATCAAAAAATTATAGCACCCTTATGTCACAAACATCATCATTTTTACACAGGTGAACAATTTATGAACACGCCAAAAGGAGCATATCCATTTCACAGAAGAATGACACAAACATAGACCCACTGCCATGAAGCACAAATCTCATGCATGTCTGGAGATGGAATGACCAATAAACAGAATGAAAGCAGCATGTGACAGTTTATGAAAGCAGCCTTTGATGTCACAAAATGTTATCGTTTTTTTGACAGGCGAATGATTTATATACATGCCAGAAGGAGCATATCATATCACAAAGAAAGAAAACATTTTTACTAAATTACCTTCCATTTAACATGAGAATAACACAGACCTAGACCTCCTCTTATCATGAAGGACGAATCTTATGCATGTCTGGAGGTGGAACAACAAATAAGCAGCATGTACCTCAGTTACTTTGAAAATGTACATCTACCTAGTTAGCTACAGAACAGCACGTGACTGTTTATAAAAGCAGCCTTCTACTTCAGAAAACATCATCATTTGTTGATAGGTAAACAATTCATAGACATGCCAAAAGGAGTGTATCACATAGACAGCAAACATTCTTAATAAATTACCGAACACAAGAATAACACAAACCTAGGTCTATTGGCATGAAGGAAGGATTTTATGCATGCCTGCAAATGGAATGAAATATAAAAACAATGTACCTCAGTTTCTTTGCGGTCCTGCTCCACCTGAGCCAAACACTTTCGAATCTCCTTAACCTTCTCCTTTTCATCTGCAATCTCCTGCTGCAACTTTGTTTTCTGTTTTTCCCAAGCCAACAGCTTTTTGAGACACTTCTTCTCCCTTTTTGCAACCTCCAAACAGGTTGAGACTGATTCTGATGCACTTAATTTAGAAGCCTCCATCTCTGCTCTGATTTCTGCACTCTCAGCCTCAAGCCTTCTCACAGCTGCATTTGCCTGGTCCACCTGACTGCTTGCCTTCCTCAGAGCATTCTCCATCTCTGACAACCTCTTCATGGTCGAGTCCTCTAGAGTCGGTTTCCCCTTCTTCAACCTTTGTGTCTCCTCCCTTTCCATCCTCAAACGTTTAAGCTCTGTTAAATCATTACAAAGCTTTCTTGCAGCTTGCAGTGCCTTCTGGTGTGCCCATTCCTTTCTCTCTTTCACTTGCTTCCGAAGATCCTTAATCTGATTAAGCAGCATAATTATCATCTCATCCTTCTGATCTTCCCCTACATTCTCCAGTTTATCATCAATACTCAAATTACAGAATTTACTCAACACCAAATTAACCTCATCTTGATTCATCAAATTCTGAGACTCAGATTTCTTAACAGGAACTTCACTTGCTGGTATAGCTGGAGGGGTGTTTCCACCAGCCAACTGCCTAACATAAGGCTGGCTTTCTGTCTGCATATGTTTTGAGTTGGCCCGGAAACCAGCTGAAAACATTGCAACATTTCTCTTCAACAAAGACTTCATTGAAGGAGAAAGATTAAACCTCTTAGGGCATTCAATATCCCTGTGCAAGGTCATCTCTGCACTATATGAAAAGAACCCATTTAATGCGAACTCAGATCCTCCCCCACTTCCAAACCCCCAACCACCATGAAACCTACACTGGCCTGGTGGTACTGGTGCAACACCATCCCCATTGTTTCTAACACTCTCCACGTTATTTGATACTGTATTAGAACCATTATCCGATGAAGGAGCTGATGGGATCTCCATTGTACTCGCCCTACCCACATGAAGATCACTCATAAGCAAACACCACATGGCATCACCTTTACTCAAATGTGGTCTAACTTGCTGCAACAGGCACACCATACCCGCTAGTGAATACTCCTCCAATTGCCTCAAATCAGCACAAACAGGCTCAGATTCGTCTGAATTCCCATTACTGCTCCCACAACTCTTATTCAAATAAGCCAGTGAATTCTGCAATATATTTGTCAAAGTATCCATTTCCCCATAACAATGCCCATTTTTCAGTATCACCTTCATTACAACATCCTCATCATAACCTAAGGCTACAAGCTTAGATATCGCCTCATTATACAAGAATTCCAGGCTTTTCAAAAGAATTTCCTCTAATTGCTCTTCAGTGCAGTAACCCCAGCCAAGATCATCCAGATTAGCGTTACCATTAAGTTTAGGATTTTGGGTCGATTCATTGAGATCCAACTGGCCACTCCTAAGACCCGCCTCGATTATGGACTTGGAAATTGTCGTCTTGTCGACGGAACAGCAAGGATCCAAATCGGGTTTCATTGATCGGGACCTCCTGCTTGTGCGGAGATGCTTTTCCCTGACGGAACAACCCATTTCTGGCCTCCTCTGTTTCTGTGTTTATGAGTGTATATCAATGGAGTGAGATTGAAATTCAAAAAAACCTGCAAGGATATCATTAGATGAAGCTCTGATACCATCAAATGAAATAAAAAACAAACAGATTACATCTGAGAGACGGCCGGACTTACAGATACGGTGGTGGCGGTGGGATAATATCGGAGTCTCAGCACGGTGACTTATTCTGAGAGCAGAGAGGAGGACGAAGACACATGCAGACAGCAGCTATTCATCTTGTGTTAATAATGTGTTCCCCAGCCAAACACGGTGCTATTTGCACGTGTCAAATATGGCATGTAGTAGATAATGCTGTTGGGCCTGAGTCCTCTTTGGGCTTTTAAAGCCTATCTCAGAGTTGAGACCAACCCATTCCAATTTCCAACATGTTCTATGTTGTTTGTCACAACAAAAATGAAAATCAGCCAAAAGATTAGCGCGAAGGTGAGCATGCAAGTTTAGGGTAGGCGCAAAGGCAATATATATATTTTTTTGGTACCCTCTACACCTTTGCCAGCAAACTTCTTTAACTTGGACTTCGATGGCTGGCTTTACCAAAATGCAACTTCCACTTCTTCAACTGGAGAGTCTCGTCAGCTGTGGTCCATGTTGTTCCTAGCCCTCCTCTGGTACATCTAGAAGAGTAGAAATGCTTTGATCTTTGAAGACAAGCGGCTTCCACCCCAAATTGTGCTTCAACAGGCTACTTCCTTAGCTATGAACACCAAATTAGCACTGGCTACGCAGATTTCAAGCCGTCCTCGAGTCTCTCGTTGGGTAAGATGGTACCCTCCCGATCTTCCTTTCTTTAAGCTAAATACAGATGGGGCCATGAATCATGCTACAACGAAAGCGAGTGCTGGTGGATTGATTCGAGATCATGAAGGTTGTTGGGTCCATGGTTTTTCTTTGAGCATTGGCCATCAATCCAGTTTTATGGCAGAGCTTTGGGGGTGCAGAGAGGGTTCGCGCATGGCATCTGATCTCGGAATCACCCATTTGATCCTGGAAATGGATTCTTTTCTAGTGGTTCACATGCTGCAGGCAAAGAAAGGGGTGGAAGGCTTAGCTTGGACCCTATTTTCTGACATTCTCCATCTTCTAAGAACGTTTTCTGAGTATCATGTGCAGCATACTTTTAGGGAGGGTAACTTTGCAGCAGATTATATGGCTGCTATTGGCCAAAACCTCTCTCATGGTGTCACTATGTTTCCAGAGCCTCCGGTCGGAATTGCAAGCATTCTTAATAGGGATGCCATAGGGACGTTGTTCCCTCGGTCTTAGTTTTTTTGCTTTGTTTTTATCTCTTATGTACCAAAAAAAAAAATATTTTTTTGGTACTAATTTTTTAGTATCTAATAGCCACATTGAGTTCCATAAAAAAGAAGTTCTTTTAACGTATGTTTTTTTCATTTACAAAACTTACATTTGAGATTTCATTTAAAAAAAATTGAATTTTTCCTACTCAACTCAGAAGGTCGTTAGTTGCCAAAGCAATGCCATTGTTTTGTAATGATCATTTAAAAACTTCACTTTCTCATTTTAGCGTGATATATTTTTGGTTAAATATTAATTTTAGTCCCTTAACTTTAGAATTTTACATAATTTTCATTTTTTTAACTTTTTTATATATTTTTTTAGTCTTTCAACTATAAAAAATGTATTATTTTAGACTTTCTTTTAGTTAATCTATTAAATCTATCTAAATATGCATATTTTTAATTCTTGAATTTTTAAGTTGAGGAATAAAAAATATACATATATTATAAATTTAGGGACTAAAAATGTATACATTTAAACAAATTTAACGAACTAGTTAATAGAATAACTACAAAAGTATAACTTTTATAGTTAAAAAACTAAAAAAAGTATATAAAAAAAGTGGAGGAACAAAAATTGTAAAAAATCTTAAAATTAAATATCTAAAATTGAAATTTAACCTATATTTTTCTTGTTAAGTTTATAAGTCATACATGCACTCTTTAACATGCGCACGGAAAACTCATGAACTTAATAATCTAATATTCTAAACTTGGATTAGCACCCAACATTGCAAATTAACCCTATTTTCTAAATTCATTTTGGAGTCTATGTTAAGAAATTCCAGTGACAACTAATCATTATAAAAATAGTTACCACTAATGATGCTAATACTGACGTCAGTAACTATGTTTACTCTTTGATTTATTGACTCCTGCTCTACTTGGGAAAGGTCACGAAAATGTAATTAATTTAAGTCTCCTTTGATAGGAAAAGTAAAAACAATAGTTTCTTTCGGTTTATAGTTAGCTTTTTACTTTTTTTTCTTTCTTGATTACGCAAGGGAAAGACGAGAATTTTTCATTTTTTATTTTACCTCAGCTGCATACTATAATTCGAATTTAAGATTTTTTATTTTTAGTAAAAAAAAATTGAGTTATTTAAGTCGTTAACTATAATTAACTTTAATTAATTGAAATGTAATGGCTCAAATCAAGATATATTTATACTTAATAATTTATTTTATATTTAATTGAGCTAACTCAATTAAGAACTTGGTGTTATTTTTTTTTCTTTAATGATAACAATAATGTCAGATTCACTACAAATTTTCATCATGTAATTATCTTATTTTTTAAAAATAAGGTATTTTTGATATGTTCCTTTTAAGTTGGATTCAATCTACCTTTTCAGTATTAAGAGTTTTTCTAATATTATGTGTATTAAAATTACAAGTTAAAAATATATTTATTGTATTTTTGTACACATTAAAAAGTAAAAATTATCATTTATTTTATTAATTTTCAAATTAAAAACATTCATATGGCTTGAATATTAAAATTGATGTTTGTTTTTTTATTTTTATGTAAATTAATGCTTAAAAGAGTAATAAATATATTTTTAATATATATTTTTTAAAAATAAATTAGAAAAACTCTAATATTAATTTACATAAAAAATGCTATAAAAGTTAATATTTTTAGCATTGTTGCCACTTGAATAAATTTAAATAGACAATTATTAAAATTAATTATTAGTTTTTATTTGTTTCATACTGACTAAAGTAGTGATATAGAAGTAACTTTTTTTATATAATATTTTAATACTACTTTCATAAGTAAATATATTTAATATCATATGTTTTAAATAAATAAAAAATTAATAATTTAAATAATATATAAATTATTAAAAAAATTATCCTTAAATTAATTTTTATTAAATAATATTAAAAATATATAGTGAATACATACTTCTCCCTTTGTGCACATGTGTTAGAAAAATTCCAAAAAAAGAAAAAAATGGAATAGAAAAAATAAAAAAATGCCAGCTCTTCCCTTTATAAATGGCAAAATCTCAGGCCGTCTCTATTTCTTCGATTATTGGGTGAGAGCAAAGTCGACTGCGGTGGCAATTGGAAATTGTACATTTTCCTGTCCAGAAACCAGAAACCAAATCGCCATAGTTAGTCATGGCTGTCCTTACAAAGCAAGACCCTTCACCAGCCTTTGCAGAAACGGTAGAAGAAATCATGAGACTCTACAGATCGTTGCCCGTAAGACCTCCCATCGAAGAAGTTGAAGCCGCCATATCCGTTCTCACAAGTGTAGAGGTCGAAGAGCAGAGAAAACTGGAGGAAATCTCGAAGCAAGAAGCTCCGAAAGATGTTCCCGAGGAGCTGTTCTCTGTGCTGCAGCAGGCGAAGAAGACTATGGTGTTGTTCCAGAGCCACGAACAGAGAAAAGAGGCCCTTCACTTGGTTGAAGTTGATCGGATGTTTGAGACCTTCGATGGGTTGATTCAAAGGGCTTCCGCGTTGGTTTCTGGGGGTACCCTGGAGGAGAAAGCAGCTGGTTTTGGTGACCCAGATGGGAAAGTTAGGAAAGAAATTGTGAGCTGTGATGAGGATTTAGTGAGGAGAAAGGAAGATGGAGAATTGGAGAAAGATGGTATTAAGGGTCTGGTTAAGAGTGCTTCTACAAAGGCTGTTTTCTTCTCAGGTAAAGCATAAATTTGATGTTTTTGTTGGGATTTATTATTATTATTATTATTATGCGAAATCTTGCCTATCTAGAATCTTTGATAATTAAGGACTTGAGATTTTAGTATCAAGAATATGAATGAAGGACTTAAATTTTGTTGGTTTCAAATTTAGAGTTGAAGGTCTAAGCTTTTCTTGATAGTTAATATGTTGTTGATCTCAACAGACATGCACTTTGTAATTGTAAGCAAGTATAGGTTTATTGAGGGTTTAGGTTTTCTTATGTTTCAAGACTGTGCTTTAGAGAGAAGAGGATAAAGTTTGTGATTAAATGAAAATTCTCTAGTATTTCTGTCTATTAACCCCATATTTTGATTAACTTTCCATGATCCCTAGTCTCTATTCTTCAATACAGCTGTATGTGACTGATAGCGTGCACTAACCAGTAGAATGTAGTCCTAAGTGTTGGTTTTTGGTTTGTTTTTGCAGGTGAAGACCAAACTGAAAAATTGAACCTATTGAAGGTGGCAGCCCTAATTGCAAACTCTGCTAAAAGAGGGGCTGTAGTTCTTGATCTTAGAGGCAAGTTGATGGACCAGGTTGAGTGGCTTCCTGAATCACTTGGGAAATTGAAGGACGTTACTGAACTGGACCTATCTGAAAACAGAATCATGGCTCTGCCAGGCTCCATTGGTGATCTCAAAGCATTGACAAAGGTCAATCTTCATTCGAACCAACTTTTTAACCTTCCTGATTCATTCGGGGAACTTGTCAATCTAATGGAGCTTGACCTCCATGCAAACTTGTTAAGGTCCTTGCCAGCTTCCTTCCGTAACCTGAAAAACCTCATGAATCTAGACTTGAGTTCAAATCAGTTTACCCAGTTGCCAGAAACAATTGGGAATTTGACTTCTTTGAGAATACTGATTGCGGAAACCAATGATCTTGAAGAACTTCCTTACAGAATTGGAAATTGCTCATCCCTGGTTGAGCTGAGATTAGATTTTAATCAGCTGAAGGCTCTTCCTGAGGCAATTGGGAAGCTGGGATGCTTGGAGATTCTCACTGCACACTATAACAGACTAAAAGGGTTGCCAACAACAATGGGTAACCTTTCCAACTTGAAGGAGCTAGATGTGAGCTTCAATGAGATTGACTCCATTCCTGAGAGTCTGTGTCTCGCTGTAAGTCTGAGGAAACTGAATGCTGGTAAGAACTTTGCTGATCTTAGAGCCTTGCCGCAATCAATTGGAAATCTTGAGATGCTTGAAGAGCTGGATATATGTGACAATCAGATTAGAACTTTGCCAGACTCTTTCAGACTCTTGTCAAAATTAAGAGTTTTCAATGCTGATGAGACTCCATTACAAGTACCACCGAAGGAAGTAACTAAACTGGGTGCTCAGGTATTGTTAGTTTACCACTTAATAGCTTATTGGATTCTTGACTATTATTATTCCCTTTATCACTGACTTGCCATTGAACTTCTCTGTTCTACAGGCTGTGGTTCAGTTCATGGCTAATCTTGTTGCCAGTAGAAATGCTAAATCTCAACCATCAAAGACAAAGAAGAAGGGTTTTTGGTTCCGCGTTTGCTCAATGCTTTTGCCATTCCTGAGAACTAATAGCACCAGGAGGAATGCAAACGCTGGAATATAACAAAGTTTTTCCCTTCGACCCCATGCATACATAACTGGAAATATCTCTGTTTCTATAAATGATTCCTGTATAAGCCTGTATCTGTAATTTGCTTGTAAATTGGTCCATCAATTTGCTGAACTTCCTGGAATATAGACCTCCGGTCCAATTGAAATGTTATCTTATTTTAATGAATGTT